GGCAATCAGCAGAAATGAGAGTGTAAATTACCTGAATTATTCAATAGTAGTGGGACAGTGTTCTGAATTTCTATAACGAAGAAGGAAAGTACAAAGGATAATTTTGCCTCCATCCGAGAACCTGAATTTCTTCTTATAAAAACCAAATCAAAACAATCAAACTGCTGTTACTTCTCTTTTCAATATGGGCTGCTAGGGAGTTCAAAAGAGACACTACTGTAAACTACAGGATCCCATAGCTTGCATATTTATATGTAGTCTATTTCTTCCCTGAATAGCTGCAAAACCAATTTCTCCATTTCTTCTAAGTCTATTCTTATAATGGAAATGAAAATCCTTAAAGTGATTTCAAAGTGACTGAATGATATAATGAACAGCTAACCCAGTAGTACCCAGATCTTTTAAAGAAATAAACAAGATGATAAAAATAAAAAACCTCTGAAATCAGGTCAGATTTCTCACCCACAGCCCATCAACCTACCACCTCTGCTCCCATGAATAAAGCTTGTAACTCCTCCAACAACCAAACAGAGTTGCTGTGAGAGATAACATATGAAGAAACTGAGGCAGATGGTACAGGAAGGCATATTTGGTGCATTTTCCTAGAGCTGAAATGTTGGACTTGTCACCTGTCTTGCTGCAAGATAAGCCCATGTGACAGTCACAACCAAAGACACAGAAGCAGATAACCATCAGGACTTCCTGTTCTGTATCTTCCTTCTTTCGGCTGGACTCCTGGACCCAAACTGGCCATTTCCTTGGGCATCAGCTAAGGATGAATGGGTGGGAGGTAAGAGATCAGCATTTGATGGTACCTTGTAACTGGCATCCCGTCCCTGAATGACTCACTCTGTAATTCCTTACTGCGTGAGACAAATAAACCTCTTTTGGCTTCAATAGGTGGTCACTTTGCTATTCCAAATCAGTCAGAAGCAAGCCTAACGATATCATTGAGAGCTGGCAAAGATCGGTGCTTATCAAACAACAGTCCCTTAGTTTCCTTCCTGTTGGAAAAGTATTTGCTTGGGAAAATGCTTACAACAGTATTGTTGTTATATGGTATGATTCAAATTTCGCCCGAGGAGCTCAGAAAATTCTAATACGCACATTACTATGAAGAGGAGGAAATGAGTATTTTTATTTAACAAGGCCATTTTGACAAACTGCTTCCAAATGTCCTACTTACCTCCCCACGAGCCAAGGACACTGCAGGCCCAGGCCCAACAGGGACCCTATGGCCACACGAAGCAGATAGAAATGAGTGTCCAGGTTGGATGCACTGACGACATTCCGTGATTCTTCACATATGACATTGGGTGAATACTCAGGACACAAGATGGGTTTGTGGCCATTCAGCACAGTGGTACAGAATGGCAAGCCAGCTATATTTTCATGACACCAAAATAGTATTTTTTGGATTCTACCAGCACAGACGTGGTTTCTAACATTCCAGCTACTCTCCTTTCTCATTTCTACAAGGAAATTCATGCCCTTCCTGAGTAAAGTATTTTAGGCCAAACCAGACTTTTCTCAGCAATACCTGAAAACCCTGCACCATGCAAGCTTTAGAGGGACAGTCCTTATAAGCAGGAAAAAGCAAACCCTAACCCCAAGGATGTAGCTGGTATTCTCAAAGTGAAAGTGAAAAACATTGTCACATATCCTCTCCAATCTCCTCTCTCTCTCTCTCTGTCTCTCTGTCTCTCTCTGTCTCTCTTTGTCTCTGTCTCTGTCTCTCTCTCTCTCTCCTCTTTAAAATTTCTATATAAGAGTTAAAGCATTTATATAGGAAACCCCTGATGAACACAGTATACGAAAACAAAAATCACTATTAAGTGGGAACCAAATACATCAGCACAAAAATAAAAAAATTTCTTGCGCCTCATATACTCACAAGATGATAGTGGGATCAGCACTGAAGGACTTTGGGAAAACTGTAATGTATTAAGATATAGTTATGCAGGTAAGCACAGTACGTGGCAGAGTTGAACAAACTTGATCACGAGCCTCTCAGAAGTTGCTGATCCAAATAAGAAACAACTTGCTAACTGCAGTCACAGCTCCAACGTGGCTCTTCAGAGTACCCCGTGACGCCACAGCCTGCTCCTTTGGATAGACTGCCCCAAACAGAACCTGCTACCATTCCACATACACAGTGTTTTTCTTCTATTGCATCTTAGCACCAACAACAAAAAGTATGGAATAAAGGTAGGCAGATGGATAATAGGAATAATAATGTTGACTAACATGTATTAAGCTGCTGGGAGAAAAGTATAGAGGTATAGATACACAATCTGAGTTAGAGGATGAGTGACTATTTTGCTGAATTTTGGGGAATGAAGGGCTGCTTTCTTCACACTGACGACACTGAATGAACCTAGCCCATTCAGCTATATTTCTGCTTAATCTGCACACACTGTTTTCTTAATCGGCACACACTAACATGAAGCATATTAATTAACTGGTTACTTAGCCCACTTAAAACAAACTAGAAACATTTTGCTAACGAACAATAGCAAGTAAGGGCATAGAGAAATACAACATCCTTTTGGTGATGGGAATGGTTTCCCAGGATTTCTATAAACTAACCAGTCATTTTGGAATCTCAGCAAAAAAATACCTTTGTAACTTTAAGTGCATCCTTCCACTGAATAGTTTTAGCTTTGGGTAATGACTGTGGACCTGTATAATGACATGGTGGCTTCTCGGTCCGAAGGGAATTTTTTTCCCTTTGTTATTCAGGGGCAGACTCTTGATCTTGCCACAGGCCCAAGGAGGCACAGAATTCATTTGCACATCCTTTGTAAAGGAAATGTTTCCCACCACCCTGCTGCTGCAACCAACAGATAAGATGGGAGGCTAGTTTACATTCTTTGACCATCGTTTTTCTTTAAATCTATTCTTCAGTATAAAGTCAGAAGTTAGTTGGTGTGACTGAAAGCCTTCATCCACAAAAAGCCTCTTTTGCATTTCCCTGAACAATTTTCTTGCTATTCAAGATAACTGTTTCCGTATCTCTGCTTCACTTCACAGCTAGTTGGTATCAATTTTTGAACACACAGCATTCTGTGGACTGGCTTGATCCAGGTCTAATCCACCTTCTTCTCAGTTTCCTGCTGGAGCTTGAAAGTTACAAACTAGACTTTGCTATAACTAGTGCTTTGGGTACAAATTCATCTTTACCCATTAGATGTGTTTGTAAGACACTTGAAATAAGGAGGAAAATCAGGACCCACCTTCTGGCCCCTGTTTCTGTCGGAGGCTATGAAAGCCAGGCCACCAGCAAGACTAGCTGGGGCTTCCACATCATTAGACCTCTGTTATACCAGCAAGCTCTCGCACCCAGTGACCCTAGGATCCATCTCTTGATTGCAGCTTTTCCATTATTGTAGTGGCTTTTTCAAGTACCCAATCCCCTGCATGAGATACTTTTCTGTCAGAAATGTCTAGGGAGATTTCCGTACCTGGTCCAAACCTTGGCTAACAACCATACTTCTCCATCCTTAGAATGTACCATATGCACTAGAACAATATTAACATCAATGTTTACAAAATGCTTTGTAAGTCCATTGTCTAAACTCTTTTGTAAGTATGTTATCTAAATCGACCTTCACTGCCACTCTGTGAGTTTATGGGCCAGGTTCTCCTCTACCCATAATACTAATGAGAAGGCTGAGTCTCAGGAGTTAGGAGACCTATCCAAAAATATTAGTCAATAAGAGATGGAGACAAAACTCCGTTTCAGATTTTATGACATTTTAGTCATTTGCTTTAACACTAGGAAGCCTTCTAAGGTCAAATGAACAACTGGAGAGAAGATACAAAAATCTTGGCATTGAATCAAACTATTTCCTTAAAACTTTTTGAAAACTCGTTATATTCTGAAACCATTCAAGTAGACTAATATACTTAAAGGTAAGCTAATAAATACAGGCTATGTCATACAAACTGTGACTTTAGATCTAGTAGATTCGTGCCTCAAATTTGTAGAATCCATAAAGGACTCTTGTTTATTAATAGAGACAAAAATGGTCAACTGAATTTTTGGGTTTTGTTTGTTTTGTTTTGCTTTTATTTATTTATTTATTTATTGGAGACAGGGTCTTATGATATGGTTAAGGCTGCCCTTGAATACCCTATCCAGCTCAGGATGGCCTCGAACTCACAGCCATCCTCCTGCTTCAGCTGCCCAAGGGCTGTGATTACAGGTGGTGCCACCATGCCTGGCATAACTGCCCATTCTAACCCTGACCATGAGTGCTTCCTGTACGGTTATCTGGCCAAAACAAAAGTGGCTAGAAAGCTTGCCAAGGCCAAGATTCTTATCTCAATTCTCCCTAAGAGCAGCTTCACTGAAGATCCTCCTTCCCCAACAAGGTCCCTGAGAATAAAGATTTACCTTTTTCTCTGTTTGTTACCTAAAATGTATTTTATTTCAATGCTTGGGAAACCAAGAAACAAAAACATTAAATAAATTTTGACTGAGATCACTTCAAAAGTGTCCCAAAAGTTGAATTCCTTCTTTCCACATCCACCGCTCCTCCACTTCTTAGCCGTCATATACCCACAAGGTTAAAATTGAAAAGTTCTAAAAGGCAAATTCTCACCGTATGGTCCCCATTCCCAGAAAGCAAGATCAGTCCTACGAAGCATCCCAGTACCACAAACCATCATGATTATTCCACAGCCATTCTCAAAACACTAGAATTTCACAATTCCCTAACCATCCTCTCTCTTTGTCTCTTTCAGTTTCATGTGACTTGAATCTAAAAGGTCAGGAGAGTGGCAACTCTATAATGTCCTGTTTTTCTATAACATCTTACTTCCATCCTTGCATCAAAACATTGTGAGATATCTACAACAGAAAATGACAGATGTAAGGAAAAGCACTTAAAATTAAGATGAAGAAAGGGTCCAAAGGGTTAGACAAGTCAGGTACCCCTTTCCTAGGACATCAAGAAACACAAGGAGCATCACTGAAATGCAACAGCCGTACTAACCTGAGGGAAGAGAGAGTACGTTGCATTATCAATGGTGAATGAGTATAAGAACTCCCCGTCATACCACATGCTCTTCCCCATGGGGGAATTCGTTTTAGTCATAGCAAAGAGATGGGCGGGGTCGCAGCAGTCTTCCATTTGTTTCCTAGGAGAGAAAACAGAGAAAGAAGAGAACAGCAGGTTAAGTGAGCAGCAGACTCATTCACTTATGATTCCCACAGACACATGCAGACTTAGCTCGGAGCCTGCTCGCAGGAGCAGGCAGCAGCGTTTCCACGGTGATTAGACTACTCTTAATTCGCTCTTCCAGCCATGGAAATGCATGACTGGAATATTTCATAACACAAAAAGGTCTAAGGGAAATACACCCGCTCTCAGGTGCAGCTGAAATATGTCTAAAGGCAAAACTAATCATCATGGTTGCCAATCTATGGATTGAGCCCAATATTCAAGTCCAGAAAGAAGACCTGAAGAGCTAACCCTGGAAATGCACAGAGTGGCTGGAAAAAAAGGTTTGCTTCCCCAAAACTGGGGTCAAAATTACAGAACTTCTCAGAAATCTCTCTGATAGGAACGATAACTTGAGTGATATGATCGCAGATGGTAATGAAGCAACTCGTTTTCCCCGTCTAGTCTTATAGGCTCTTCAGTTTTCAGTGTGGCCTCTCAGGAATGCTTGACAGAGTTGGGCGCCAAGACCTCTGTATGCTCCCCCATTCCCTTTGTGTCTGAAATGCCAGCCTCTCCTGAGTCACCTCACTTGCTAAGCTGCCCTGCAGACCCACCTCCTGCTGGCTCCTCAATTACAGGCCCTGTCACTGCCCTCTGGAGATACCATCTCACACATGTAAAGATGGGTAACGCCAAACCTGGGGGGTGTGGTGGGGGTTAGAGAGGGTTGGAGAAAATGGAACGCAGGATATTGTTGGTGGGACAGTAGATTGGTGCAGCCATTATGGAAAACAAGAGAGACGCTCCTGGGCTGGAGATTTAGCTCAGCGGCATAAGCACCTGCCTTGCAAGCAGGCAGTCATGAGTTCAATCCCTGGTACCGATAAAAACAAAAAAAAGACAAAAAAAAAAAAAAAGAGAGAGACGTTCCTAAGGAAATTAACATCGGACAGCCAACCGACACACCAATCCCTCTTCTACAGAAATGACATCTCCCTACAGATGCCCTATACTCAAGGGAATATGACTCACAGTGAAGACACGGAAACAAACTAAATGCCTTTTGACAAATGAATGGAATGCAATATTATTCAGCCTTTAAAAAGGAAGTTTGCCCTTTGCCACATGGATGGACCTGGAGCACATTATGTGAAGTGAAATACACCAGGCACAGAAAGACAAATATTGCATTATCTCATTTACAAGTGGAAGTGGAGTCTGGGGAAAATATCCTAGAGATAAGACAATGAAACAGTATTTGTCATGAACAGGGTTGAGGTTGGGGAGAAATGGGGAGATGTAGCTCAAAGGATGCAAAGTAGCAGATATGTAAGATGAACAATTTTAGTGATCTATTGTAAAATATACAGGTTATAAAGATAATCTGATAAGCATTTTGGATTTTAGTTGCTTTTATCACAAATCAAAGTAACTACGACAGTTATTTGCTTCATATAGTAATCATTTTACCCTCTGTATGTATCATGCTATAAATCTTGACTATGCATAATAAAATTTATTTCAAAAAAAAAGGCAACAAACAGGGAAGTTATGTCTTGTGTGCAGGAAGACACACAAGAGATACACACAGCTATCTGTGGTTTGTTGTTGGCTGAGATTAAAAGAGGTCATTAAATTATACCCCAGGGTGGTGAGGACAGTTTCCCACTCTGAGATTTGTGACTTGGGAGAAACCAGTAGCATGAAGGAGGAGACAAGTCATTCAGGCTGGGAAGCAATCACAGAGGAAAGAAAAATAAGATGTAACGCCAATAAGATTCATCAGAATATACAGTACAAATATTAAGACTGTCATTCTTAAGAAATTGCTCTGTTGAATAATGTACTTCACATCATATATATATGACATATATATATCTATATCCTATATATGTATTCCAGCTTTTAGAATTTTTATCAAATTTTGTTTCTATCCCCTTTCTTATTCTTTTTGATAATGATGTGTAATATCTGTTTCTTTTGTGGCAAATATAGTGTTAAAAATGCTAAAGACAATCCCATTTTATTTTCAAATTTAAATTTAAAGATCATTAAGTATCATTGGAGCATGAGCTGAGTTTTGGAATTAAAATAAACGATTTTTATTATCTGAATTTCAGCTTCTGCAGTGGTCACCTCTAATGATGCTGCAGTTGCACTATGAGGATAAACACCTGTGAAACCAGAGAGCCTCTTACTAAAATCTCCCTCAGGTTTTGTTCCTCCTAATGGAAGCCATGTAGCCCAATTAAGCCATGAGACCCTCATTTGTTTGTTGCTAGTATAAACCAGGGTACACTGAGATTTTGAAAAACTGAGCAACCAAATACCAATAATGCACAGTGTCAAAATGAGCCTTGTTGAGATGTTTTTCAGATGCCAAAGGTAACACTCTGGTCACCAGACATGAAGAAAGTTTTGAGGATGCCACTCCCATGACTGGAACTATTATGCTCTTTCCAAGAAACGACTGGGTTTGAGATGGTAGGGACAAACAAGAATTTTACCATGTTCTCAACATTTGGCCAAACTGTCCTATAATTCTTGAGTTTTACACTAAGATTTTAGAAAGCTGAATGGTCAAATTGACAAACAACCTAACAAATGTCATTTCTAATACCTCCAAATTTGTATGTGACAAATGATTGTGCAATCCTGCATATCATTATCATATTTAAATGGGGCATCAATGTGAATAATCCAAACAGATAGTATAATCAGGATAAATTAACAGGCAATTAAAATTCTGAGGAACATTCCAGAACCCTCTACGACAGGTGGAGGAGTAGCACACATGCTCCCTCCTGCTCCCTTCCCCCACACCAGTGTAGCCCATTCACCAGCTGTAGAAAATGGATATTTTGAGGAATCAAACCCAAAGCCACCCAAGAATTGAAGTTTTTTAGGATATACAATCCTGATAAGAATCCAAATGAAGAAAAGAAGTTTGGAAAGATTTCTAAAACTTGTAGAGTCCTTGCTGATGCCAAAAATGGAAATTGTAAAACTTTTCAAAGACAGCAGATAATTTAAGAGGAGACAGAAAGTGGTAACTGTGGCTCCCCCATCGATATCTTTGATACGTTTCTGGAGGAGGATGGATGCAGAGAGAAAGAAGAGGTAAAGGTGCTAAGCATTTTGTTCTTGGTAACCTTGGAAGATTTATTTTACACTGGCAGAACAAGAAAAGTGGTTCTGCAAGAGAATGTGATTTGTGACAAATATGAAGACCAAGGTAGTAAGAAACGTGCTGTGCCAACTCCCGGGCTAATGAAATTCATGTAAGAATTCATCAAACAAGACCGAGAACTGTGCAACAAATATCTGTAAACAGAGAATCAGGGCTATAGGGAATGTATTGGTCCTAAAGACTGATTAAAAAAGATGCAATGAAAGATAGTCTGAGAGAAGAAGATGCTAGAAGTTCATATTGATGAAGGCATGAAAGATGGCCAGAAGATAACATGCCATGGTGAAGGAGATTAAGAACTAGAATTGGAGCCAGGTGATATTATCATTGTGTTAGATCAGAAGGACTCTACTGTTTTTACTCTGAGGAGTCTGGACATGCATATGGACATACAGCTGGCTGAAGCATTGTGTAGCATCCAAAAGTCAGTATCTATTCTTAAAACCAAACTATAGCCATCCCCTATCATTGAGGTCAGGTGTCAAGCATGGCAATACCAAGAATGTGCTAAATAGGGCCTCAACCAGCAACCCACCTGCACCGGGAGGTGGCCGGGAGCAACCTGCACTCTGCCTCACAAGCAGAAAGGGCTTGCAGCAATTTCCATCCCATAGTACAGCCTCACTGCATCACTCAGAGCCTGACAGGGCCATGCCCAGCATCCCTCATCACCAGAGGACCCACGGGAAGGTTCCCCCGGGACTAGTTGGGTCACACCCTACAATGCCAAGTAGCTGGGAGCCATCTAACAACCTCCACTCAACTGGGGAAACTCCCTGCAGAAGAGATAAATATTCTGAACCCAAGAAACAACTGGGACATTGTCTTCATCTTCCCCAAGAGCATAGAGGAAAATGACAAAACAGAAGACCAAAATGCAATCTCAAACATCCAGCCCATCCCAAGGAAGCCTAGGAGACATGAACATAGAAGAAAATGTAAGCCATACACCTGAAACTTCTGAAATGATAGTGACTGAAGTTTAAAACAAAAAAACTCTAGGAAGTTATAAAAGAACCCAGATCAGAAATAATCTTCCAGATAAAAGAAGAAATGATAGATGTAATAAAAGAAATGCTGAACACATCTAAAGAATACATAATTAAAAAATTAAAGGAATATTGCAAAAAGATGGAAACATTGAATGAACAATATAAGAAACAAACAGAATGCATGAAACAGATACAAAGAGATAGCCAGGAAGTCAAAAATTTCATCAAAAGTTGACAAAACTTCCTTAATGAAAGTGAAGACAGACTTTCAGACCTTGAAGACAAGATTGCAGCTAGTGAATAGGAAAGGAAAGATCTTTTAAAATAACAAGGGTTCAGGAAATAACAATTCAACAGTTGAACAAAGAAAAACAACATAAGATTGATAGATACAAACAAAAAAGAAGGTGACAACACAAATGATACCAAGAGGATATTTACAGAAGTAATAGCTGAAAATTTCCCAAACAGAAGAATGAAAACTGGAATACACATAAATGAAGCACACAGAACTCCAAAAAACCATAGCCAAAATAAAGCTACACCAAGACGTATAATAATCAACATTCCAGAAATCCAATGTAAGCACAGAATGTTAACAGCTTCAGGAAAGAAGAGACAGATCACCTATAAAGGAAAGCCTATCACAATCACAGCAGACTTCTCAACACAAATAATGAAGTCAGCAAGAGCATGGAGTATTTCAGATCCTAAAGGAAAACTACTTCCAACCGACATTGATGTACTCTGCAAAACTGTCCTTCAAAACAGATGGAGAATAAGATACTTCCA